TCGGCGGTCTCACTGCTCTAATATCTGCATCCCGTTATGGCCACACTCAAATCGTCCAGCTTTTAGTGAAAAAGGGGGGCGATATCAACAAGTCCGACCAAGAGGGAGACACTCCACTGATCATAGCAGCTACCGAGGGGCATGTGGATATTGTCCGATTCTTGCTGGAAAGTGGGGACGACGTCGATAAAACGAGCAAAGATACGAACACTCCGTTGATCTGTGCGGCCACAAATGGCCAACTGGGAGTCGTGCAGCAGTTACTGGAACACGGGGCAGACATTAACCAGACCAACCAATTTGGCTCTACTGCTCTTTTAAGGGCTGCAGACTGTGGCCACACTAGCGTAGTCAAGTTCCTGCTGGAACGCGGAGCTGCTATTGACTTGTCCACCAATGACGGATACACGCCGCTTCTCTATGCTGCTTTAGGTGGACATGTGGATGTGGTGGAGTTCTTACTGGACAAAGGCGCCGATATCCATGTCACTAATGACACTGGTGGTACTGCGCTTACTTGGGCTGCTTCAAATGGACACTTGGGTGTGGTTAAGCTTCTATTGGAGAAAGGGGCTAGCATTGATGTAGCTATGGATGACGGAGTCACGCCTCTCATGCAAGCCGCTGCAAACGGTCACGATAAAGTTGTTGAGGTCTTATTAGATGCTGGAGTTGACATCACAAAGACTAGCAGCACCGACTTCACTGCTCTCATGTACGCGTCTATCAAAGACAATCTTGACGTCGTTCGTCTTTTGTTGGAGAGAGGAGCTGAAGTCAATGAGGCGACACATCTAAGATCCATGCCTTTGATTTTGGCTGCTGAGAGAGGGTTCACTGAAATCGTGCGTCTGCTGTTGGAGAATGAAGCTGAGATAAATTACACAAGCAGCAGAGGTGCTACTGCACTGGGTTACGCTGCCGAACGTGGCCATATTGAAGTGGTGTGTCTTCTCCTGGAGAGAGGAGCTGGGGTTGATACAGCAGATAATGGAGGAACGACGCCTCTGATGTCATCAGTATCATCCGGCCACGTTGAGACTGTGCGTCGGCTATTGGAGAAGGGAGCAAGCATTGACCAGGCCGATAACGCTGGGTATACTGCTCTCAACTACGCTGCACTGAATGAGCACATCGAATGTGTGCGTCTTCTTGTAGAAAATGGAGCGGACATGAACCACTTGACCCCTGACGGAAGCATGCCTCTCGCGGCGAGTTGCTCTCTAGCCAATGTTGATATCGCTCGCCTGTTGATCGAGAGTGGAGCAGCCGTTGAAGTATTGGAAGAAACGAGAGTTTCTCCTCTGGTAGCTGCTGCTGGCAACGGTCTTCTTGACCTTGTGCGTCTCCTATTGGAGAAGGGCGCTGACGTGTCAAGAACGTTTTGTGGCGGATTGACGGTTCTCAGTGCTGCGGTCCAAGAGGGACACACTGAAATTGTGGAGCTACTTATTGAGCATGGAGCTGCCATTGACGCCACGTTGGACGATGGGTCGACTGCAGTCATGATGGCAGCGCTCTTTGGCCAACCAGAAGCGATCCATATCCTATTGAACCACGGTGCTAATGTGGATCTGGCTGACGCGTCCGGAAAAACGCCCTTGATGCTGGCAGTTCAGTGTAGGCATGTGGAAGTGGTGAAGCTGCTACTAAGCGCTGGTGCAGCTGTAGATGCCAAGACATACGATGGGGAAACTGTGTTGCGCTTGGCCGGATATGCAGGGAACGTCGAGTGTGCTCGCTTGCTGTTAGATAGCGGAGCGGATGTCAACTTGACTGGGAAAAACAATTGCTCGGCCTTGCAAAGCGCAATATTCAATGGACATATCGAGGTTGCCAGGCTTTTACTAGCTAGTGGTGCGAGGAGCAACTCTGCGGACGGCGACGGAGACTCCGCGCTCCATGAAGCTGTTCTGCACGGATATCTCGAGATCGCGCGCTTACTGTTAGAATATGGAGCTGATGCGAATGCAGTGAACTTGCTGGGATGGACGCCGCTCACTGTAGCTTGTCAGCGTGGATATACCGAGATTGCAACTCTCCTTGTTGAAAAAGGTGCTGCTGTGAATGTGAGAACGAGTGAGGAGCGGACGGCGTTACTATTCGCTGCTGAAGAGGGATTTTTGGAGATCGTACGTCTGCTTGTGGACCATGGCGCCAATATAAACGTACTAGATGTGGACAATCAAACACCGTTGATGAAAGCTGCGTACAGAGGACACGAGGAAATCGTTCGTTTGCTTCTGGACAACAACGCAGACGCGGAAATTGTAAACAGTTCGGGTCAAACTGCAGCGGAAATTGCTCGTGTTAATTACAGAACCGAGGTCTCGTGGATTCTCCAAGAATGTGCTGCCCAAGACTCAAACAAAGCGAGGAGTATTATCACGAGACAAAGCAAACCGGACTGGTTCATTCCGAGTCGTGAAGTTCGAAAAGATCTCGAACCTTTTTCTGCGAGTTCGTTCGGGAAAGTCTACCGAGGTTGGTGGTTGAGTACTCGCGTCGTTGTCAAGACGGTCACGGTAGCCACTGAACAGGAGAGTCGCACATTCCATCGAGAAGCGCGTATCTGGCAAAAGGCGAGACACCCGAACATCGTGCCATTCTTTGGAGCCTGTGACGAAGGTTCGACGTATTTTTTCGTGTGTGAGGAGGCCAAGAATGGCAAATTACTCGACTATCTCTACCACGCAAGAGAAGAGGGACGATCTTTGGTATGGCGGAAGCTGTTGGACGCTGCTCTCGGTCTGCACTTCTTGCATGAACGACACATCGTGCATACTGATCTTAAGTGTAACCAGATCTTGGTAAGTAAGGACGGTGTGGCGATGCTGACGGATTTTGGACTGAGCTTCTTGACAACAGAGCAGAGCGAAGACGAGAAAACGGTTGGCGCAATTCGTTGGAAGGCCCCCGAGGTGATTCGTAAGGAGAATCCAGTGGCTCCAAATGCGCTATCGGACGTGTATTCATTTGGTATGTGTGTGGTAGAGGCGGTGACTGGAGACGTACCGTGGGGTCAACATGTTCCAGACCCGGGCGTGAAGTTCCATGTAACTCGCAAGAAACTTTTTTTGCCTCGTCCAAAAGCTTTTGAGAATGACGCTGAGTGGGAATTGGTGGAGAAGATGTGTGCTTTTGAGCCGTCTGAACGGATGAAGTTGGTGGACGCGATTGAGAATATTCGTGGGTTTGCAGAGGAGGAACGATTCCAGGAGAGACTGCGACAGATTAAAGAGGGACCTGAAGACTTGGACTTCGCTGTGCGAGAGCTTCCAAAGCACTCAAAAATTTCGACGATGGGAAGTGTTCGGGCTTTAGCAAAGATGAAATCGCTCGGCAGATCCGTTCGAATGAAACGGGGAGAGGGAAACCTAATGACGGCGGCGTGAATCGTCTCCACAAATGGCGTTGGCCAAGGTTAACTTCTCTTCGTATCCGGACACTCAGATCGGACATGCCTTTATCGGTAATTTCGTCAATATCGAGATTTCTTTTGCAATATAAATCGATGCAGCAGTCTAAAAAGCTCTCAAGCTTCCCTTTTGATCTTGGCAATGGTACAGTACCATTGGTACTATGTCGATGCTGACAATTCGTTGAACGGAAAATCGAAAAATGACACTGTTCAGCATATCACCGAGGGGTGTCAAAGATACATGCAGACTCCGTCTAGGGGATGGCCTTCAACTTATGTACAAAGGTAAAAAAAAAAAATATCGGGTGTACGTAGTGGGATTGGTAAGTCGGATCCCTACTACATCACTGTAAAATCTACAGTTGGGATACGACCTTTTAATCCCTGGTAGGATCCGACCTATTTTAATTAAAATAAGAGAATATCTTCTTGAGCTGGGCACATGACATAGCGGTGACACAGAATCATGGCCACGCTACTAGAGGTCGTGAAGTGCTGAGCAGTGCATGAGAGAGATTTCCGCTGGTAGTGTGGAGGAGTACCTGGCATACTTGTAGTCTGGATGAGCGAGGTCATAGAATTAAAAAAAAAACTCCAAAAATCCAAGAACAGCATTTTTTGCATGGATTTTAGATGGTTAGGTACGGTGTATCTGTTGCTTCAAACTTGACTTGGATTTTGTATGGCACTCTTCGACAGCGCTCGAACCATGATTTTCTCTTTCAAAAACTTTCTGAAAACGTCATAAAGCACTTTTTCTGGAAAAAAGCTCTTGCCTTGACTGCTCATAGCTTATGGCCCACCATAATAAAAAAGATCAAAAGTGGGCCGAAAGCAATGCGCACTTTTTCTATACAAAGTACTTTTTTGGTGTCTAAACTTCAAGATTCTGTCTGAACTTGGATGGCATTCAGACGAAAAAAAGCCATTAAAATTTTAATGGGTTTTTTTCGTCTGAATGCCATCCAATCCCCTCGGTAGTCATTGTTTGTGGGAACAAACAATTTATTCCTGTCTAAGGGTATTCCTCACGGATGTACCAATCACGTATCAGCATTCTCAAGTTGTAGTACAGATACGCGGCTCCATTTTAGTGATCGGAGGAACGCTAATAGGAGTCGCTCAAACTCGCGGTTCTTCTGCCCGTGTATCGCGTTCTCAGCGTCATCCAAAACGCTTCTGCTGCTTCCACATATGCGTGTTCCCAACGGGTCCAAGTGGAATCGGTGGCGGTGGCTTCTGCAGCTTCAAGCACCTGGAACCCTCGCGCTGCATCCGTGGGGACTCTTGGCTGCTTTATTACGATCTCCCAGTCGTCTGTTAGACGGCGTGACGGCCTCGCACCACCGCTATCTGGACCGCGCCGCAGCTGCAGTCACGCAGAACCCAGTGCTGTTCCCCAATGGGTTTTTCTCCGATGGATGGGGCGATTTAAACACCCCAAGACGGATTCGAGAGCTGCTGCAGAGTCGACGTATGAGTGACGTCGTGACGCTAAAAGACGGAGAACCCAATTGGAACAGCGTCAGGAAGCTATCGGTAGCCAAAGTGGCGTTGCGCGAGGGAAAGTTTAGGAGTACATTGGATAATGCGCAACAATTGCTTCCAGAGGAGAGTCAGGATGCGTTCTGTGAATTGGTGACGCCGCTGGAGTGGGAACGAGAGGATCAAGGTATTCCACAGGGGAGAAAGGACCGACCTCTTGTGGGTAAGTGGATTGGTGGTTGGTTGTGAGATGACAGTGGTGAATAACCGCGTGGAATTACGTAGTGCTTCTACCGGGAACGGGAGAGCACGGATTCTTGCATCGGCGGACGGCAATTGCTATTCCACTGGCGAAGCAAGGAGTGGCCACTTTGGTACGTTGGGATTTGATCGGATCCTCTTTTTTTACTTGTTGGTGTGCATACTTGACACTTGCCGTTGTAGATTCTGGAAGGGCCTTTTTACGGAAAGCGCAAACCACAGCAACAAAAAGGATCGAAACTGCGCAGGTAATTCAGCATCGACTAGATAGTTTTGCAATATTGAGTGCTAAGTATTATCGCGGGGTTTTGTCTATAACAGGGTAAGTGATTTGCCGATTCTTGGCCAAGCAACAATTGAGGAGGCCAAGTCGTTGCTGGAACACTTCCGTAATTGCCACGGGTATTCGCAACTAGTTGTTGCAGGCAGCAGTATGGGCGGGTTACATGCTGCTATGGTCGCATCCGTGTTTCCCGGAGATGTTGGAGCAACGGCCTGGTTGGCACCACCTTCTGCTGTCCCTGTCTTCGCAGACGGGCTACTCTCTGGATCCTGCAACTGGCGATCGCTTTACAAACAACACGAACTACAGATGCTGGATAAAATGCTAACCGGACACGCAGTAGTTGAAACTTATGAAAAGCTGGTCGATGCTGTAGCCGACGCCGAGAAAGAGCATTCTGAACTGGAGCTTGATCCAGTCCAAGAAGCCAAGAAACGCATGAGGCTCTTCCTCTCGATCACAGACATCGACAATTTTCTGCCTCCACGACGATCGGATGCTGTTGTCTTCGTGTATGGGACTGAAGACGAGTATATTGGCTTCACTGAACCTCAGTGGCAGGTTAGTATGCTCTTGTTCACACTTACGTTCCGTACTGAGTTGTTCTTATAATGTTCTTACGATGATGTGTTTTCAGCGTATGCGTGAGCAGTGGAGACCAGCACATTTCAGAACCATCAAGACGGGCCACGTCAGCGGGATTTTGCTGGAGCAAGAAGCCTATCGCAAGACGATATTGGAGGTTGTGGATCTTTTGAAGGAGCGAAAAGCAGCAGTGGATTCCTCGTCTAAAACTGCTGTTGCCTCTGCGTGAAATGATTTTCGAAGACGTCTTGTACACCCAACTCAACACCATAATATTTGCAGGACTTCTGCACCTCAGCTGCTGTGGCCGAATGAGAGGTCAAGTACTAGCTATCAACTCTAGCTAGGTTAAGGCTTGTAACACACGTCGTTAAACCCACTTTCCTTGCGGTTGGCAGCCCCAGGTTGCGATGGACTCGTGTGTTGTATGACAACTTGTATCAGTTCAGTAGGCAGTACGACCCGGCGACTCTCGAATGCGTTGAAAGTTGCAAGAAGTTGCATTAACTGGGATGCGTCAGACACAGAAAGGAATAGAAAAGTTGCATACCAACAAACTTCGTAGCTGTAGCCGGCTTGCTTCTTGGTTTGTCCCTAATCCCGAACGTATTAACTGTAAAGTTGGTCAGAATTTTTTTTTCTTGTATCAGAACGCGACATTACGCTGAGCTAATCATTCGTGCAGACAACACACAATGATATCCTGATATGTGCTCATGACTGTGCGAAGTTCGCCACGTGAAAGGTTCTCTCGCCACATGATCTCTTCGATATGATGCTCTCCATGGAAGTAGACGCATAACCTCTTAAAAAGCGTAAAGACTGGGTTGGGTTTGGCAATCTTGGCCAGATACGCACGCTCTTGATCTGTGAACAATAGCTGACTAGCCACACTCATCACTTGCGCCATAGGTACACGTGAGTCTGCAGCAGGATTCTCATCCAGCGGTGCTGGCACAGGGGACGGCGCCATGGCTGCTGGGTTCATTGGCGGAGTCTGAGCTATAGGCAAACTACCAGGCGCACTGGTGTTGGTCGCGCTACTATTGACTCGTTGCCGACGGAAACTAGACGCCAATAAAGCAGGAGAAGAGCTCCCCACTGATGATGCACCATTACCGAGCTCTGCAGCATAGTCTCCATCGGACGGGATCATAAAATAGATGTAGCGGTGAAGCTGTACAATGAAACGCTGTTGTAGCAGCCAGATGAGCATGTGGATGTACTCGGTCTTCTTCGCCGTCGACAAGGTCTTCATGTACTCTCCAATACGTCGAGAACCCGAGAAGGTCGACAACACTTCACCCAACTCATAAGGAGCAAATTTGCGTCTAAACTCCAACGCAAGAGGTGACGTAACGTGTAGATCTGCCTTCGCATTGACTTGATAAATATTGTACAGGGTGATAGCATCCACAATACGCCCGAAACCCCAATAAACGAGATGTGCTGCTAGTCGAAAAACCTGGTGAATAGGCACACCAGTCTCAAGTGCAATATCTTGGAAGCTCTTGAGAGGATTCACAGCATCAACCAGATCACGCAGTTGTCGCGCATGGTCTACAGGTAGTTTGCTAAGGATATCCTCTTTATCGGCCAGTAACAGAAGCGTGTGGTATGGTCGTAAGCTTGCCATCTTCACCGTAACAGCGTCCGTTAGAGTTAGCGACAGCTTCACCCATCCATTCAGTACGACATGAGCGGCTCCAGATTCTTCCAGTCCATGGAAAACTCGCTTCAAGTCATTGGCCAGTACACTTTTCCCTAACGAAACATCAATTAAAGTCTGCGGATCCACCTCCACTGTCGACGATCCGTTCTCCCCGTCCTTCCTGTGGTGATGATGGTGCATTAAGCTCGACCCACTGGTGGCAGTATTTCCTCCCGTATTACTTGTGAGGCTACTGCCACTCGTCGCACCGGCTGCCACCGCTGCACTTACACTGTTCCCACTGGTGACACCTGGAATTCCATTATTGTTGCTCCCTGCATTGCGTTCACTTTGAGCTAATTCGTCCCTTAATTGTAGCAACTCCCTCACTTCTTTTGACACAAAACCCACGCGAAGTTCCTCGTGTAAAAGTCCATTGGCCAACTGCGCCGCTACAGTGTGGAAAGCTTGAGCGCTGCTCCGTCTTCTGGCTAAAAGTTCCTCCTCATCTGCCTGTTGTAAAGGAAGCAAATGCGTGTCAATAGTCCCATCCATAGCGTCAGCAGGTCTTGATACTTGTGGAGGACGGTCTTCCAGTGCGAAAATGATGTTGAACATAGTCGTCTCGTTCCCCGTTGCACCGGTGGAGCTGTTTGATGATTGCTCTACAACTGTAGAGGATGCTCCTGTGGCCGATGTTGAGCCGTTTGTCGTCGTAGAGCCACCACTGGGGCCATCCGCAGGTGCCGTTGCCGGTAATCGACGCGACACAAGCACTGGGTGGCTAACGAAACGCAGATCGTCTACTACAAGCTCGAAGCTGGCGTTGCATAGTGCGTTCTTGGGCCGGAAGAGCTTCGCTAAGAGGGGGGCAGGAAGCGTGTGAAAACTAGAGCCATTCTCGCTGGAAGGAGCGGGGTATCGGAAGGCTAGGTTGCAGCCCTTGCTGATGTCGTCCACCACGAGCGCAACGCCCAAGAGGCGGCAGCTACCAGCGAGATGGCCACCTGGACTGAGGTTCATTTCCTTTATGCTCGTAAACTGTTAGGACTCGAATCAAGTAAAGTTAGAAATAGAAATAGAGCTAAGCAGTGGAATAGTGCATTTGAACGGAAAATTATTTTACTTTCACTATTCTAAGTACAATAGATACGATCACCTGAAGATCCTTGAAAATCCAAGAGACGCATAGATTTGAATCCAACCATTTGACACACAAGTCGCAGCATGGCTCTCCTGGCGACGCTTCTAGCGATGTGCGGGCTTCTGGGCTTCACGTGGTGGTTATTGACCCACTACAAAGACGCCAAAGTGCCCACAGTGGTTCATGCTGCCGTGTTCTCAACTTGGGTGTTGGGGTTCCTGGGTCTGATCTTGCTGCCAATGGATCTGGCCACCAATGGTCTAGTCGCGAGTTCTCAATCAGCCGGCAATGTAGCAGAAGAGAAAGCTAGTTTTAGAGAGTATCTAGCCGTCTGGAGACTGCTGTACTGGGCCACGTTCCTCATGAGCTGGGTAGGACTTCCATTCTTGGTGGAATTCCGTCAAAACGGCGAGTTTGAGCTCGACAAGCGGATACTGAGTTCTTTTAGGCACTTGGTCTTCCATTGGACAGTGTTGGCTGGTGGGTTGTTTATCGTGGCTCTATACTTGATCTTAGTCGACCATTTATCGCTGTATGGAGTCCTGGGACTTGCTATGGCAGCCAGTAACACGTACGGACTGCTGTGGGTCATCGCACTATTGGGGTACGGTCTCGTGGAGATCCCAAGAGGATTCTGGATTCGACGACTGGATGGAGCACAGCTTCAGATACTGCACTTTGAAGCCGTACAATTACAGAATGAACGGATGGAGGCGAGGTTTGAGTACGACGATGTGGTAGCTGATGTTCACGATGCCTATCAGCGCATGGTGCAGGCCGAGAGCGATGCAATCATCCTTACCAGCGAGATGCAGTACGTCAAGACTTGTCTCCTACAAGTCGTAGCTGCGATCGAGAAAAGTAAACCTGCTTTTAGAAGACTTGACACCTCTAACGATACCAAACGAGGCTCAAAATCAGTCTCATTCTCTGACAGCAAAATGAAGCGCGGAGTCAGTAACATCGGTCGAGCATCTCGTAAGGCTCCAACTCTTACAGAAACGATTGAGCTGCATCGTCGTGTGCGTATCGCACAACTGGAACTACGTCGATGTGATCAAGCCTTCTTGGAGCTCTGTATCAACGTCGATATATTGCAGGATCGCAGTGCACAGCGTGCATTACCCGCAGGTAGCTTATACCCGGAGACGTCAGCACTTAACCGTCTGCACAACATTTTCCTGAACATGCGACACCAACTTCGTCAGTGGGTCACGTCTCCTGTAGCAATTGTATGTGCTGTGGTTACGGGGTTTCTATCTCTTTGTGTGGTTTGGGGCGAGCTTACAATGGGATGGCGTAGATCATCGCTATCTCTATTCCGCTTCATGATCGCTGTTGAGGCTATGGAGACCAGCAGCAGTCTACGCAGTGCGACGGAGCTCATATCGGCGTTGGTGCTCGTGTATTTGGCCCTTTGTTGCTACAGGAGCCTCTTCACCCTTCGATTGCCTGGTAAATACGTGCTACGTGCACACGGCAACTCGACTGAGCTCTGTCTCCTAAAGACTTCGATTTATCAGTGTCGTCTGCAGTTTGCGTTGGGACAGAACGCTTTGCTCCTACTCCGTGGTGGAGGGCTGGCAGAGGGGACTGCTTTTAATGCCCTTTTGGCGAACACTCGTGTCGTTCATGTCTTTGGAAGAGGCTTCGCTGTATACGCACCACTCGCGATGATCGCGTTGGCAGTGTTTACACTAACCAACGGATACGCTCGAGTCATGCGTCGTCTTGGAATTGAGCAATACGAGCAGATAATTCCTGGTGATTCGACGCATGCTGCTTCTATTGCTGAAGGTGAAAGATTGGTGCAACAAGGACTGGAACGATTCCGCGTGCTCATATCCCGTAAGAAGAAAATTTACGAGACGGGAGCTGCCGGTGGTGGGTCTTATGGTTTTGCCTCTGCTGCTGCTGGGACCCAATCTCTACTGATTGATGATGAGGAAGATGTTGCTCACTCAAGCACCAGTGAAGGTATTGTATAAAGGATAAACTTCCAGTGTCGGCAAGATATCAAGTTAAATGAAACCAGACAATTAGATGTTAGTTTCTTCCGTTTTAATGCAGCATCTTAATCCTGTAGATATTCGTTGTTTGGCTTGTCGAGCTCCACTGAGAACTCGGAGTCGTCTGCTTCGCTAGGTTTCTTTTTGCTTTGCTTTCGTTCTGGTGAGATTGATGCTCTACTGTCTTGACGACACATACATTGTCGAAGGAATTCTTCTCGCTCACGCCGGACGACCTCACTCTCTTGCGGATCTTCATCATCCTCTTCCTGATTATTGCCACGCACTAGTGCTACTCGAACAGGAACATCGTCTTGTCTTGCCTTGCACCGCACTAGTTGTTTCTGGAGAAGATCCGAGTGGGCTCGCTCTTTCTGCAGTTGGCTTTTCACACAACGTAGTTCTGCATTCGCCTTGACTGCAGCGAGTTTGTAAACTGGTAGTTTCTCTGCTATACACGCACGAGACGATTTGAGCTCCTCTGTAGAGTGCGCAAGTTGACGGCGCAGCTCCGTATTTTCTCCCTGAAGCTCTTCCACCTGAACATTCAACTTGAAGATATCAAAGTGCTGATCTTCCCTGTGTACTATGTTGTCACTGCTACACATAGAACTTCGAAGTTGTTGTCGCTGATGAATGGCCTCCACTTCTTCTGCCAAGGACTTCGCAAGTGCTCGCAGGGCTACAATTTCTTCTTCTTGTCTCTGGTGATCTATCAGTACTCTCTCCAATTGCTCACGAAGACATTGGCACTCTGCTATGTGGTCGAGTGCGTTACTTTCATCACTGCTCCAGTTTGTTCTGCTGTGTGAAGATGGTTCGGTTTTCTTTAAACCCAAGATGGATGAAGCAACATCTCTCGACGGACGCTTCTTAGTTGTCTTCTTTACTGGGTTTCGAGTGGTCTGGGTGCGAGTGCTAAGTCGCGTTGAAGATCCTAGTCGACTTCGTCGAGGATCAACAGGGGTGGCAGTCGGAAATGTACGTCGCTTCATGAAATCTTGGCTAAGATCGCGGTGTGCCTAAAATTGTATTAATAACTTCTTCAATTTTGTCGCGACTGACACTTTTATTTTTCAGGAATGCAGGAAGAACTTCAGGTTCATCATTTACCCCGCCGCGAGAAGAAGCGTCTTGTAAAAGGGTGGCATGCCATACAAGCGCCGCCAGATAATTCTTGTTCCGTTGCTACTGATGAGCTAAGTGAAGACGATCGTATAGGACGCTCTGGCAGTATGCGATCGCTGTTTGCTACGCCACCTGGAGCGTTGTCGTATGAATGTGAACAGACAGGTACATGGCGCAGTACGTCTAACTCTACCCGGGACTGCTATGATCGGCACAATCGTCAGCAAAAAGAAAAACTACCCAAAACAGCCGGTCAAGTGAAGCATGCGTATCGAGCTCGAGCTCGAAGAGAAGAGGCTCGCGATGCTTCCAATGCAATTCGAAAACGAGATATAATATTGGAGCAGCGGAGAGGAGCACAATGGCGGGAACGTGACCGGCAAACAAAAACAAAAAAGCAACATTCATCGGCGATGGAACCCCAACAAGACATCGCCAACGAAGAAAATAACGAAGAAAAGGTATCTGCTGGCGTTTCTGAAGGTGAGTTTGATAGCAGGTTTCAACTGCTGAACTTGCCTGTAGACGCGATTATGACCAACACTGAATATCGAGGCGAGGTGCTGCGAAGAATTCGCCATCAACTTTCCAACGGTAGTGAGGTTCTCTTGCAAAGTGACTGTGCAAGCGTCAGCGACACCATGAAAAGCGCGCGCTTGATGTTGCAAACGCTTTGTACGCAGAGTCTTGCTTATTGTGTCCGTGATCAAAACGTAGTCCCCGATACAATCAGTTTGTCAACATCCATAACTCGATTATCTCTGCGGTTAAGTCCACGATACCAGTCGATATAGCCGACGATTTCGCTGAACTGCATGTAATCTAGCGAAATGTTCATTAGAGAGAACATTTTTGAAGTAGTTGGGAACGAAATAAAATGCCAACAAGAAGAAGAAGATTGCAGCGCTACCGATAGCCCCAGAAAATCGTTTGATTTACATGTAGTCAACGAGTTTGTAATCCTGAAACCTCAGGTTGAGAAATCTCGCGGTTTACCTCGCAATAGAAGCATACAAAATAAGATTTAAGATTGCAGCAAAACTTTTTTAATTACGTTTTTTATCCTCAACCAATCAAAAGCCTCATATTTTCCGGTACGGTAATGGCATGGAGGAGGAGTTCAGCGCTGCATTGGCGTTCCTGAATGGGCTACAGCAATACGACAACTTCGAGGCAAGCGAATACGGTGCTGGATATTACTTCTTACATGAAAGTGGCGAGTGGGCAGACCACTTCCAGTTCCTCGAAACGCTGGATGACGACGAATCAGCAGTTCAGGAAGCTCCTAACGCTTCTAAGAAACAAGTAAAGAAGAGGACGAAGAAAAAAGGGTTTAACCCGAACAAGGCTCGTGAGGATCTTCGCGCTGAAGTGAGAATACTAAAAAACGAAGTAGAGGAGCTCGAGTTTATTCGGAAGCGGTTTCAAACCATTCAAAGCCGACGGAAGACCAATAACAACGCAGCTACTTCAAGCCACGGAATGGGAGAAGCATCATTGTGGAAAGAGATTTGCGCTCATCAGATCAAGCGGCGACTGAGAACTGAACGGGAGAATGTTGTGCTGAGGAGGAACTGTGAGAAGGTGATACGCGTCGTAAACAGCGTGAAAAACCTGCTCAAAACGCGACCAGCCCTGTGGCATATGACAAGCTCCGAAACTCGTATTAGAACCAGACGAATTGAAATTCCTAACGGATACATGAACGACATGGTAGCAAGGATCTTTGACGAGCTTGCAGCTGGAGTCGAGGCTTCCTATTGTAACGTGAAGCAATCGAAAAGCCGCTCGGGTCTCGCAGATTCAGCGTCACAGACACCGCTACTCACCGATGGCGTGAAGGGCAGACCCAGAGAGGTTTTCGATTGTAGTATATTACCCTTTGGTGTGGTTGAAATCAGCGATGCGTGGTGGGAAGACTGGCACACTTACAGTGGTCGAACCGTACAGGACACCGCAGACATGGTTGCAGAAAGTTTTGGGTTAGAAATTTACGATGTGGCGGCTAACATTTCCGCCACATTTTACGCACAGCAGGTCTTACGCCGATACGCGGAAGACAATCGTGTCGTCTTCGTTTGGAACGCGTACATTGAGCCCATCTCATTCAAAGGCAAGCGGGTCCGTGGCGCCTACTATATAGAGAATAGTAACGCGATCATCAAACCTCAAGGCCGTGAACGGAACGAAACTCTTACGCAGGTATCATGCCAAGAAGTTGTTACCCCCCACTTTTTGGACGCGAAGTTAACAAACGACCCCAAGATTTCCGCTTTGACAAGCGTTCTCATGAATTCGATGTCTCCGTACTATACGGAACGGACTAAAACGATTGAAACCTTGCTACTGGACCGTGCGATTCAAGCAAGACGCTGTAATTTAAAATAGTATGACCATTCTGGGCTCGTTTATAAGAAGAAAAAAATCATGTTAGTAAAGTTAAAATATGCAGGGCTTCCTATTGAGGGCTGAATGACACTAAATATGAATAAACACAACTTCGATCTTGCAGAGCATAACAAGCTCTAAAAGGCCACAGTCTAACGCGAAGGTGCTCGGTAAGCGTCTGAGAATATCGGGGATGTTCGCTTTTTGCATTGTTCAAGTCAAGTAATGTAGTCCACATAATATGTGTAAGCCACATCAATAATAATAAGCCACACCAATAATAAAAGCTGCAGGACGGACGCTATACCTTGAACTACCACACGTATCGATGGAGAGCTCCGACTCGCTTGATGCAGCCTTCGTTAATGGAACGTTTCAGCTAGATGATACAAACGGTGATGGTGCAACAGGATATTTGTCTTCACTGGGCGGCGAGGAGTGGGACCCTGAGGTTCTTCTAAGCGCAATGGATAGCGATTTCGGAGGAGGCTATGGTCCAGAATTGCTACCTATAACCCCATTCCAATGGGTAAACGCGCCAAATGTGGAGAATACTTTGATCGAAGAGTCAGCGCCACCACAACGAAAGAAAAAGAAGCTCAACTACGATCCGAACAAGGCAAGAAATGAACGTCGCTTCCAGCTAATCGAACTACGGGACGAAGTCAAAGAGCTCGAGATGAAGCTCAAGCAGTTGCAAATAATCCGAATCAAGAAGAAGCCTACAGGCGCTCAACATAAGAAATACCGATCGAATCATACCAAGTCCACCGGTATGTCTGCGGTGTGGAAGGAGTTTTGTATTCGTCAGCTGGAACAACGACTCAGAGCTGAACGGGAAAACATACATTTAAAGAAGAGTTGTGAAAGGGAGATGGAAGTCGTCAAAGGTCTGAGGAAGTTGCTGTACCGGCACCCATCCCAACGGGATATCATGTATCTGGGAGAAAATACTCGTACAAGACGTATCGATATCCCTACTGGGAGTCTGAAGCAGATGGCAGCAATGATCTTTGACGAGCTGTCGACTGGCGTCGAGAATTCCTATCGGATCGCAGAAGTCGTTATTGAGATTAACAGCCCTGTGCCGACGCATAAAGTGACGCAGAAACCGCTACTACGTGATGCCATGAATGGTATGCGCATGGAAGTGTTCGACCACCATATCTTGCCGTTCGATATGCGTGCAACTGGCGATGCATGGTGGAAACACTGGCATAATTACAGAGGTCAAAGCTGTGAAGCAGGCAACGTGGTCGCAGAAAGTTTTGGATTGGAATTCACTGACGTGATGGCGAACACAACGGCCACGTTCTACGTGCAGCAGATCTTACATCGACATGTTGAAGACCACCGAACAGTAATTGTCTGGAACGCGTATATCGAGCCATTCATGTTCGAAAACGAGCGCGTTAGTGGCGTCTATTTCCTAGAGCAAAGCCATGTGATTATCAAACCTGACGACCAATACTCCTCCTCTGAAGGTGCAGTCCCAACTCGAATGTCGACCTGCGAGATCATCTCGCCCCACTTTTTAGATCCGAAGTTGAAAGAAGACCCCAAAATTACTGCTTTGACCGATTTTGTAGCCAGCTCGCTGTCTTCCAACATCATGATGCGCAACGAGAAAATTGAGGACATGCTGTTGGACCAAAGTCTGCGGCAACGTAGATAAAACACCCTCCGCTTCAAGTTGCGGTGATCCGGTCAACCATTGCGTATGCTCTTTAGATTACGTGAAGTTCTCGAGCTACAAACATGAGATCATTTATTTATCGCCGCATTGCTGCAGTACCTGGTCCAGCAGCAGTGTCTCTACCATCTCGCTAAGCGCCATGATGTTGGTGGACAGCGAGCTCACCAGAAAGTTAATCACTGCCATCGTTTTTGCGTCTTCTTTCAGCTTCGGATCCAAAAAGTAGGGTGTGATCACATAGCAAGTCGACACTCGCGTAGCATAGCCATTGCTTCTCCCACAAACCCGTTCAGAGCTCCAAGATTCAGGCTCGATCAGCACGTAATTTTGCTCAAGGAGGTAGACTCCACAGACGCGTTCGTTGGCAAATCCAAAGGGTTCCACATATGAATCCCACACAAACACAATGCGCTTATCTTCAATATGCCGGTGTGAGATCTGCTGAGCATAAGCTGTTGCAGAGATGTTGGTCTTAAAGTCGCTCATCTCGAGTCCAAAGCTCTCCGTGATCTCGTTAGCTGCGATATCTTGGAAGCGTTGACCTCTGTAGTTGTGCCAGTTCTCCCACCAAGCATCTCCAGTCGTACGCATGTCAAACGGCATGGTCCTTCTGTCGTAAAACTTCTTCTCTGTGCCCTTCAGCTTCTTTGTTTCATCAAGTAACCCGCTGTGCCTCACTAAATCCATCGGAACGGGGCGTGTGGTCTCGAAAACACTCTCCAATCTGCTATAGCACACCTTCACTCCAGCTGCGAGATCCTTGAAGATCATTGCTGCCATGCGTTCAATGTATCCAGCAGGAATATCTGTTCGTCGTGTCTGTTTCGTAAATTGAGGCTCCGTGTCATTCGACGTAGCATGTCGTTTGTAGAGCATCTTTTCCAAGCTCTTGACGAGTTGTTTCTCCTTTTCGTACTGCTTCTTCAGTTTCATATTCTCCTTCTCGGCCTCCAATCTCCTAACAAGCTGTCGTGAACATATCTCCTGCCACACAGGGGGAACTCCACTGGTATGACTCGGATGCTCGAAACTTTTCGGTCTCTTGTTACGGACGGTCTGTAGTCGTTGTAGAGTGAGCTCCAACTCTGCTACTTGCTCCTTCAGTTCAATCAGTTGGAAGCGACGTTCATCTCGAGCTTTGTTCGGGTTGAGTTTCTTCCTCTTCTTCTTGTTGGCCAACGTATTGACTGTGGTAGCTTCTGAATGGGACGTTTCTGCAACCCCACAGTCTCCGTTGTCATCCAGAAGGCTCCAATAGAAATCCGATGATGAGTCTGCAATAGACGAAGGGAATTGGGGTAATTGTAGCTCATTTGAAGCCGCCGGAGCCTCATCCAGCAAGGCCAGCGCCTCCTCTAGCTCCAACGCCATGCCTCCCAGCGTGTTCTAAGTTTGGCGGCCACTGATTGGCTCATTATATTCGTGTAAGATCACACAATTATCGACCACCGAGACTGTACGTCACGCTGTGTGACTCGTACACTGTTGCGGAACATGAACTCTGCGTCACTAGAGGAGACACTGGCATTCCTGGATGAGGAGCTGCAACAGCCTGATATTGCTGTAGACAGCAGTGTTGAAGGCTTACCGTTGTTTGGTGCTGATGCATGGGACCCGGAGGAGCTTCTAGCGTCGATCGACAACGATATCGGAGAGTTTCGCATTGAGTCGACGCCTTCCAGTGATTCCGTTGCTGAGGCTCAGCCACAATCAGAAAATACATCAACTCAGACTGCACAAAGCGTCAAGAAACAGGTCAAACCGAAAAGGAAGAGAAAGAAGCAGCTGAACTCGAATAGAGCTCGTGACGAACGTCGCTACGAGGTGGTGCGCCTGCGGAGAGAAGTGGAAGACATGGAGCTCACGTTGCAACAACTCAAGGAGATTCGAAGCCAGCAGGATCATAGTGGATCTACACGAGACAGTCAGTGTGAAGAGGAGGACGCAAGTGGAATTCCAGCAGTTTGGCAAGACATTTGCACTCGACAGCTAAATAGACGACTGAAAGCGGAACAAGAGAATGCCAAGCTGAAGAAACGCTGGGAAGAAGAGAAAAGGGTAGTCAAAAGCATCGAGAATATGCTGTTCAAACGCATGGCTCTCACTGGCAAGGCACATCCTGGAGCGAGCAAACACACGCGACGCACAAACCTTCCTGCGGAATACATCAAACGAGTCGCAGCCTTTATCTTTGACGAGCTTTCTGCTAGCGTCGAGGTTTCTTATCGTGAAGTAGAAGAAATTATTGCAGGCGATGGTCCAGTTCCGAAGAATGTGGTGACGCACCAACCGTTGCTACGTGGCGGCATGAAGGGAATGTATCGCAGGCTGTTCGACAAACGAGTGGTGCCTTTTACACTGTCGGAGACGGGCGATGCATGGTGGAAACACTGGCATAGTTACAGAGGCCAGAAGATGCCAGACCCGACGACTAATGTGGTCACTGAGAGCTTTGGACTGGAGATGACTGACCTCAAGACCAACGCTTCTGCTACATCCTACGGCCAGCAAATTTTACGCCGACACGTCGAGGAGAACCGCATCGTGTTCGTTTGGAACGCATATATAGAGCCGTTCGTATTCGAGAACCAGCCCGTTAGTGGAGTCTACTTGCTCGAGCAAAGTCATGTGCTTATCAAGCCAGTTGATCCCGACTCAAATTCAGAAGATGACAAGAAACATGAATGCTTCACCAGCATATCAACGTGCTATGTCATCACGCCGCATTTCTTGGATCCAGAGCTGAAGAACGATCCCAATACTACCACACTACTCGATTTCTTGGTCAGTGCGCTATCTGCCAATATCAGAAGACGCAACGAGTCAGTTGAGAATCTGCTACTGGATCAGGCACTGCACAAACACCACACGAACCTGTAAAATGTATGTAGCCACTTCGGTGATCGAAAATGTGTTCTGTACACCAAATATCAAAATCCACCAATCATAAACAAGTGTACAGTTGAAATAATGGCGCACGAGTCCCCGCTTGAGGAGATGTTCGACTTCCTCGGCGATGCAGTGGACCATTCTGGTAGCAGTGTAGAGCCTCTCCCAGCAGTGGACAGTATTGCATGGGACCCCGACCTGATCTTAGAACCCATGGGCAATGACGCTGAAGACGAGAGTTCGCATATACCTGACCGAACCGCTGCCAGGTCGTGCAATTCAAATGGAGCAACTGGCAGGACTTGTAGAGAACAAGTGCAACACATAACAACGAAAACGAAGAAGCGCAACAAGAACAAGGCTCGAGATGAGCGTCGCTTCGTCTTGATTCAGCTCCGTGACGAGGTGGAAAAACTGGAATTTACGCTCAACCAGCTTCAGAAAATGCGAGGCAAACAACACAAGACTACTGAACATTCAAGCCAGGACTCAGAGCAACACCATGGAGTGCCGGCTGTGTGGCAGGATATCTGTGCTCGCCAATTGCGTCAACGGTTAACAGCAGAACGCGAAAACGTTCGACTGAAGCAAGAGCTTGAGCGGGAGAAAGAGCTTGTCAAGAGCGTTCAGAAGCTGTTGTACAAGCGGCGAATGCCGAAGGAGACAGGGCCTGAAGCTAACAAACATACGCGACGCACTAATCTTCCTCCCGGGTATATTGAACGCATGGCCGCATTCATATTTGACGAGCTCGCCGCTGGTGTTGAGACCATGTACCAAGAGGTGACTGGTCTGCTGAAAGCGAGCAGTTCCTTTACGACAGTTCAGCGACCACTACTACGTGGTGGCGTGGAAGGGAAAGCGGAGAAACTCTTTGACAGAAAAGCTTTGTCGTTTAGCCAGCATGCAGCTGGTGAGGCCTGGTGGCAAGCTTGGCATGATCATCGGGGACGAAGCGTACAGGAGAGCGTGGGTGACACCATCGTCGAGACGTTTGGGTTGGAAATGAGTGATTTCAACGCGAATATTACTGCATCATCGTACGGACAGCAGGTTTTGCGGCGAAACATTCAAGACAATCGCGTCATGTACGTCTGGAATGCTTACATGGAACCTTTTGTCTTTGAAAATGAACGAGTCAGCGGCATCTACTTTCTGGAGCAATGCTTCGTGTTCATCAAGCCTGAAAATTTTCACCCAACGAATGGCACAGACGAGTCGTTATCGAGTCTGACAACCTGCTACACGATCACACCTTACTTTTTGACCCCGGAGTTGCGAAAGGATGTAAAGGCAAGGGCGCTAGTCGATTTTTTCGTGAGCTCCATTTTTGCGACTATAAAGTCGCGTAGCGAATATGTCGAGAATCTGCTACTAGATCAAGCGCTTGAGAAACTCAACTTTGGCTAGAAAGCTTACGTTGTCAAAAATAAATAAATAAAATCATGGATCTTTATTGTATTTTTTTGCGAACATTTTTTCATCGTAAACATATTATTAGTGGTGTTTTCTACACATATATTTTCCCAGTATTCAGTCGACATAATCAGGCAAGGACCACACATGCACGATAACAAGTTGACGGCAGCAGCGCCTCATGCCTTGTCGGATGGCACTGGCGATTCAGGAATAATTTCAGCTTTGGGTGACGATGAATTCGACCCGAATTTGCTTCTAGAAGCGCTGGACGGAGATTTCGAAGGCCTTGGTCTACCATCTCTATCTCCTGCAGTCCTAGATCCCAATACGGTGTTTGGGGAGACGAAGAGGAAGCGAAGGAAGCAGCTGAGGCCGAATAAAGCTCGTGAAGAGCGCCGCTTCCAGGTGGAACAACTACGAAAGGAAGTGGAAGACTTGGAGTTGACACTGAAACAGTGGCAGGAACGTCGGCGCAGGCTTCCCGCTAATTCGAACAAGGCCAATGAATTCGCCAACCACAGAGAAATAAGTGATGTCCCCGCTGTGTGGGAAGATATCTGTAAAAACCAACTCTGTCGACGACTGAAGGCTGAACGAGAAAATATTCGCCTTAAGAACCAATACAACGAGGAAATACAAGTCGTCAAGAAGGTCGAGAAACTGCTATACAAACGAAACATTCAGCGGAATGCGATGCAGTCCAATGTCACGAAACTCATTCGACGCACGAATCTGCCACCTGGATACATCCAGCGCATGGCCGCAGCTCTTTTTGAAGAGCTCTCAGCAGGTATCGAGATCTGCTACCTTTTAAACGAATCCGTACTTGGTGCAAATACTACTGTTCCTACTAGTATGGCGTCACGAATGCCATTGCTACGTGGAGGACTGAAGGGCGAAGAGAGAACACTCTTCGATAGAAGGATTCTTCCTTTCAGTATGCACAACATTAGTGAGGCTTGGTGGCGAGACTGGCACAACTACAAGGGTCATAAGGAGACCCCTGGCGACGTTGTCGTAGAGAGCTTTGGATTGGAAATGAGTGACTTCAAGACCAATACGTCTGTCTTATCTTACGGGCAGCAGATCCTAAGGCGGGATATTGAAGACGACCAAATCGTGTTCGTCTGGAACGCTTATCTGGAGCCGTTCATATACGACAATGAACAAGTCGGAGGCATTTATTTCCTGGAGCAATGTCACATGATCATTAAACCGGAGGCTGAGGACACTACGACTAATGAAGACGAGCTCGCTTCGTGCATGTCGAGCTGTTACGTCATCACTCCGTACTTCTTGGATTCAACACTTGAGAAGGACCCTAGGATTGCAGCTCTGGTTGATTTCCTGGTGGGCGCTCTGTTCTTCCATATGAAGGCCCAGAACGATACGGTAGAGGATCTACTCCTCGAACAAGCTCTACAGAGTCGTACATGTACCAACAAGTGAAGTATGGAATTTACGTTGAAAGTATATTTTCACGCACTGTGGTTTACCTCCGTTCTCCCTCGCGTTGTCGAGTTGCAAGTAAAATCTAGCAGTAGAATGACTCTAGATTACAAGCACGTGGTCTAGAACCGTTGACAAACTAAGAATTGTACCGACAACTTGACCTCTGGCCATCTTTCTGCGTACCACTTCTGTTACTTGTGGTACAATTACTACTCGCGCGATGAGTCAAACGTCGTTGACACCTTAAACGCGAAAACGGAGGAGGCGAGTCGAGTAGTCCATCGCGTCAATCGACAATGTGACGGCGCGAATGGGTACGCTTGCCTGACCAGCTCAATAGTTACACTTCCTGCTGCGAAGCCCTCGCAGCGCTTGTGGCTCTCGATCTGTGGATATCCCGAACGTGTCGCTCTGCAACTTCTTCACTATTACACTTGTCAGTCTGATGAGCTTGTTGCAATTCTGCCAGCTCTACCAGTTTCATTTCCCAAATAACCTTGTCAGTGAAGCTCCTCATCACGAATCATCAACAACAACGAGGATGCCACCTCTTTCAGTCCAAGACGAACCCACATCATTGCAAGTCGAGATTCGCTTCAAGAACCTCACGCTAGGAGTCGACATGGTGGAAGTTGATGTAGACGAGAATGCGGAACTTCCGACGACCACGAACTACGTCAAGCATCGCTATGGCGGATGCTGCTCCAAGAAGACGACGGCACGTCGTGAGATCCTGAAAAACATCAGCGGCGTCTTCAAACCAGGAACCATGACACTCGTGCTTGGACAACCAGGATCGGGCAAGTCGGCACTCATGAAAGTACTGAGTGGGCGGTTCCCCATGGCCAAGAACGTGGTGTTACAGGGCGATATCACCTACAACGGCACGCCACGTGAAGATGTTTTAAATCGCTTACCGCAGCTCGTCTCGTACGTCGGTCAGACGGACCAGCACTTCCCCACGCTCTCCGTACGCGAGACACTCGAGTTTGCTCACGCTTTCAGCGGTGACCATCGTGTCTGCACTGGAACAGAAGATAACCACGCTGCTCACGTAGCTCAAGCCATCGCCACTAACTATCCCCACATCGTCATCCAACAGCTTGGCCTCCAGGCTTGTCAGGATACAATTGTGGGTGACAGCATGGTACGAGGCATCTCTGGAGGCGAGAAGAAGCGCCTCACAACGGGTGAGATGGAGTTTGGCAACAAGGTTGTGTGTATGATGGACGAGTTCAGTACTGGCTTGGGCAGTGCCGCTACATTCGACATCATCAACACGCAACGCAACATCGCCAAGAAATACCACAAGACAATCGTCATTTCTCTACTTCAACCATCACCTGAAGTTTTCGATCTATTCGACAACGTCCTCCTTCTGAACGATGGCGAAGTGCTCTATCACGGTCCACGTGGACAAGTTACTGAATACTTCAAAGCTCTTGGGTTTGTGTGTCCTCCACGTCGTGACATCGCCGACTTTCTCGTGGATCTCTGCACTGATGAGCAATGCAAATACCAAGTCGATCTGCGCGGTAAGACTCATCCACAGGAACCCATCGAGTTTGCAGAAGCGTTTGCACGCTCAGGGATTCGTATCGCGACGCTAACAGAGCTGTACTCTCCTCTATCTCCAGTGAGACTTCGAGAGATGGAAACGTGTTTAAAACTCCTGCCAGAATTCCACCAGACTTTCTGGGTAGGTACCTTGACACTCATGCGGCGTCAGCTACTGGTGACAGTCCGGAACAAGGCATTTCTTCGTGGTAAGGCTGTACTGCTCATACTGATGGGTCTACTATACGCGAGTGTCTTCTACCAGTTCAACTTTGAAGATGCTCAGATGGTTATGGGCATCCTCTTCTTCTCCACCATGTACCTCGCTCTAGCTCAGACGCCCATGCTACCGCTATATTTCGCTGCTCGTGATGTATTTTACAAGCAACGACGCGCCAATTTCTACCGTACCGCGAGTTACGTGGTCTCCATGAGTGTGAGTCAGATCTCTATTACGCTGGCGGAGAGTCTGGTATTCGGAACATTGGTGTACTGGCTGTGTGGCTTCGTGCAGACTGCTGGAGCGTACATTCTGTTCGAGGTGCTGCTGTTCTTGACCAATTTGGCCTTCTCCGCCTTCTTCTTCTACGTCTCCTGTATCACGGTGGATGTCCACGTTGCCAAGCCACTTGCGATGGTCTCGCTAGTAATTTCGATTTTGTTTTCAGGTTTCGTGGTTACACGAACGAAGATTCCCGACTGGTTTATCTGGATCTATTGGATCGATCCGATCTCGTGGGGACTCCGCAATCTTGCAGTTTGTCAGTATCGTCATGATGAGTTCAACCAGTGTGTGGTTACTGTAAATGGCACTGATTATTGCACTGAATACGGGATGAATATGGGCGAATATTACCTGAATCTCTACGATATCCAGACGGAGAGATCCTGGATAATTTACGGGGTGATCTTCAACCTCGTCATTTATTTCCTCTTCATGTTTCTTGCGTATCGAGCACTGGAATATAACCGCTTTGAGACGCCGAAGAACCTCGTTGCACCGAAGAAAAAGCTTACAACTGACTACGTTGAACTCACAACTCCCAAGGCTGAAGACGGTAAAATACTTGGAGAGATATCTTTGTCAATGTCGACTCGAGAGAAGAACTTCGTGCCAGTCACGCTAGCGTTCAAAGACTTGTGGTACACTGTCCCCAACCCGAGAAACAAGAGCGAATCCATTGATCTGCTTAAGGGCATCTCGGGTTACGCGCTTCCTGGTAAAATGACAGCACTCATGGGTGCTGGAGCTGGTAAGACGACTCTAATGAACGTGATTGCTGGTCGGAAAGCTGGAGGAAAAGTACGAGGTCAGATCTTATTGAATGGCTTCCAGGCCACTGACTTGACCATCCGACGCTGCACAGGCTACTGCGAGCAGATCGATGTCCACACAGACTCGGCTACTATTCTGGAGGCTTTGGCATTCAGTGCATTCTTGCGTCAAGGCAGCGATGTATCGTACGAAAAGAAGTACGAGTCGGTGACGGAGTGTCTGGAACTTCTCGAGTTGGACTCGATTGCCGATCAATGTGTACGAGGGTGTTCAGTGGAGCAACTGAAGCGATTAACTATTGGGCTGGAACTCGCAGCTCAGTCGAGTGTACTCTTCCTGGACGAACCTACTAGCGGATTGGACGCTCGAGCTGCAATGGTTATTATGGAGGGAATACGAAAGGTGGCGAACACCGGTCGGACCATCTTGTGTACGATCCACCAGCCGTCCACTGATGTCTTCATGCTCTTCGACTGTCTACTGTTACTTAGAAAAGGTGGGGAGACCGTCTTCTTCGGCGATCTCGGTGGTCGTTGTCGTAACCTCATCGACTACTTCGAGGGTATCCCGCAAGTACCCAAGATTTCAGACGGATATAATCCAGCTACTTGGATGTTGGAAGTCATCGGCGCTGGTGTTGACCACTCAGTGGACATTGATGTGGATTTTGTCCAGATATTCAACGATAGCAAACTCAAGACTTCGCTGACCGACAACTTGAGTAAAGAAAGTGTGACTGTGCCGGTACCTGGTCAGGATGAACTCTCCTTCACCAACAAATGCGCAGCCAGCAACTTGACACAGTTCTACATGGTTACTCAACGTTTTTTCCGCATGTACTGGCGAGTACCGACGTACAATTGGACACGTATCGTGGTGTACACTGTCATGGGACTTCTCGTCGGACTGGTATTTGTTGGCGCCGACTACACGACGTACCAGGAGGTTAACAGTGGACTCGGGATGATCTTCTGTACCACAGCATTCCTTGGCATCGTGTCACTAAACAGCGCTGTACCAGTGGCATCGGAGCAACTTGCGTCATTCTACCGCGAACGTGCCTCGCAGACGTATAATTCTTTCTGGTATCTTCTGGGTTTTGCGCTGGTTGAGATCCCGTACGTACTCGTGTCAAGTCTGCTCTTCACTGTTATCTGCTTGCCACTCGCAGGCTTTACCGACGTCGGAGACCTCGCGTTCTACTGGTTAAACTTGACTCTACACGTCCTGTGCCAGATCTACCTGGGTCAACTACTGTCGTTCGCTATGCCGAGTATGGAGGTTGCAGCGTTGCTGAGTGTACTCTTCAACTCCATTTTCGTTCTCTTTATGGGCTTCAATCCGCCGGCTAGTGCCATACCGCAAGGCTACAAGTGGCTTTTTGCTATCACTCCCCAACGCTACTCACTCATGCTCTTCACTGCGTTGCTGTTTGGTAATTGTCCCGATGATGACTACACTCAAGTGATCCAGTCACTGGAAACGGGTGTTTCGCTGGACATGACGCAGTTCCCGAGAGGCTGTCAGATCCTGGAAAACGCACCGCACGCTATGGGAAGAATTCCCATCCGAACATATCTCGACAGCGTGTTTGATATCCGACACGACGACGTTAACTATTACATGCTCATCAACACTATTATGATCCTGGCGCTGCGTTTCGCCGCACTACTCGCTCTGCGCTTCGTCAACCACCAGAAGAAGTAGATGAAGTAGTGTTCGTGTATATACATTGTCAATATGTACATTCATAACCATCAACTTGTTGTTTTGTCAAGTTCAGCGGCACTTTTGCAGTGCTTCGTCCACTAGCAGATTCTCCATCGCTTCATTGCTGGTTGAAATGTTCGCCGATGTGGCACTCACCACGAACTTGGTCAAAGCAGATATCATGGCATTCTTCCGCATCTTCGGTTCTGAAAAGTATGGAGTGAGTTTGTAACATGTCATTACACGTGTGGCCATTTCATCACTCTCAACAGGCTTCATCAACACATAGCCCTTAAGCAAGAATTGTACGCCACGAACTCGTTTCTCGTCAAATGTAAATGGCTCGAAATACGCCTGCCAGACAATCACCACGCGACGGTCTTCCATGTGCCGTCGCAGGACCTGTTGTACGTACAACGTCGCAGTCTTGTCCGTCTTCACATCACCCATCTCGATGCCGCACCTCTCTTTGACCACACCGTCCACAGTCTCACTAGAACTCTGGCCTCTATAGTGCTGCCAGCGTCTCCACCACGCCTCACCAGTAGCGTGCAAATTGAATGGTAATACTCTCCTATCAAACAGTTCCATGCTTGTACCTTCACGCAGTAGAGGCTCGTGGGTCTCGATATTCAATGGAAAAGGGTAGTTGGTCTCTAGAACCTGCTCCACCTCATGGTACGAGACTTCGGTACCACTGGCCAGTTCGGCGAAAATCCGATCGGCGAGATGTTTGATGAATTCTGTCGGGATCTCGACTCTTCTAACACTTTTACCACTCTCCGACGCGGAATTCTGTAGTGACCATCGTTTGAATAGGAGTTTCTCGATGTTCCTGACCATTTTCATCTCCGTTTCGTACTTCGTTTTGAGTCTGTCATTCTCCTGTTCCGCCTTTAGTCGGCGTTCCAATTGTCGAACACAAATTTCCTCCCATACCGCTGGAAAGTCATCGTCTTCATCCTGTGCGTGAAGTGGCAGGGAGCGATTATAGCGAGCTTGTAGCTGTTGCAGTTTAAACTCGAGGTCTGTGGCCTCTACACGCAGTCGTTGCAGCTCGCGCAACTGCGCAGAGCGAGCCTTGTTCGGGTCGTAGTTGCGCTTCTTCGGTCTGTGAGTCTCGTGACTGACGGCCAGTGTATTGCTGGGAACAGTAGCGATCAGCTCCCAACCTAAGTCTCCGATAGTGTCGTCAATAGATTGGAGAAACGCGTCGTGAGACGACTCGGAGAGAGGCATGGCAGGCTATGGCATTCAGGTTCGCAAATCGGGGTTTTGGAAGAAAAAAAAAAATTGGGTTTGGGTATTTTGAACGACCTTCCATCACACTACAGAAAACCCGACAGAACTTTCATGTGGCCTGTAAGTCATTCCGTTGGCGTCGGTATTCTCGGTACAAACCGGTTTCTTCTCTCTGCGAGCAGTTCGTATGATTCGATGGAGTCGATTGAAATACCAACACCAATCACAATCGGATACCAGATCAAGATTGTCGTCCAACTAGAAGATCAATGTGCAGGACTTCTTTGCTAAAAGTCAGTAGTAGGAGCAGATGTTGCGGCTGCGTAGCAGGCGCAGGAGATGCTCTGATGGTCATGCAGCTAGAGACAATGGATAGAGCGATTGACCGACCACGTGTGAGTGTCCTAAGAGCACGGTCATTATTTTGAGTTTTATACGTCTTTATTGAAAGACTGTGGTAAGTACAGCCTCCTGTAGCGAGATATAAGCGCCCGCTAATTGTGTTACCGTAATTTCATTATATATATCGCTGTGTGGCTCTCTAGTAGAACAAGCCTGCTTTTTAAAACTTTTCAAACTTAGAAGTGGCTGGCTTGTTCAGGCCTGAGTGACCACTGTCTCTATCATCTAGAGATGCACTACATTCATATCAGGGGGGGGGTCGACGCCCAGAACAGTTTTTGTCATGAGTTTACTGCTTCGCTATGTTTGAACTTTAGAGCAAAAAAAACATCGTTTCCCGTTGCAACTAGGCGAGATTACCCATAACAGTAATCGAGTATTTTTTTAAAGATTTTAGTTTTAAACTCTCGACATCCAGAAAAGTATCAATCTGAGAATGGCTTTTCGGGAGCTCTACTGTGAGAGGATTCATGGACACTTCTGGAGTACCCTCCCCAGCGGAGCCATGGTTTTCATATGAGCATTTATTGAAGAGAGCACAGATATTATTAAAGGACTAAGTTGGCTCAAATAGACTTTCAAAAGGCTTGAGAATTTCTAGTATTTCCAGATCGTTACTAAACGATAAAAGCTACTATTCGCTATCTAAAACAAAAATTTTCATTTGATCATTGGCTTTCTAGTGCCTGAAATCTAGATATCCAACTCAATGAGCTGGACGCACAAGTTGCTTAGCAAACACTTTATCGCTTTAATTGCTTTCGAGGGAGTGAAATCTCAGTTGTATGCAAGACGCTAAGCGACTGCGTCGATGTCTGGATTTTACTCTTTACCCGGATAAAACGTGGAGAACGGTTACCCTGGCCGCAACTACCTCCCAAACTCCGGTCAACAAAGCTCACTAAACCTGACGTACACAAACGCTCATTGCATGGCTCAACAAACTGTCCGGACACAATCCCAATCACACACAAATCTTCAGATGGTACTGTGCACCAGTTTAGTTTGCGTAGTACCAAAAACTCTCCGCCATCGTCTTCATTCAGTGTCAGGAGACCGAAAGCCTTCAAGGCCTCTCGTTTATAGAGCAGCATACCATCTTCCCAGCAGTAGCCCCCAAGCATCATCATTTTATTACGCATCCCGAGTGTATTGTCGACGGAACAAGGTGCCGTGAAGGTAGCCCACGCATGGCCATACCTCCAGCGAACATAACTAACTGCACGCAACACTCGAACCGACATGACGAATCCGATGAGAACAAGTACAAAAAAACCATGCCCCACTAAACTCCAAACGTAATAAGACACTGCATTAGCAGTAGGTCCCGAGTGCTTGAGATCGGACCGATTGAGTGACGTAAGATAATAAGGCAGACACATCGCGCTAAGCAATTCTCCTAATAACGAAGACTCGTAGCTGAATAACAACCGCTTAATAAATAGTCGTGTACGCTCCCGTATGCACCCCAGCTTCTCCACTAGCTCAAAGGACAACAGAAGCACGCCGGACAAATTATAACCCAGCGAAATATACTGAACCCAAGCGAAGACCCCTTCCGTAGCGACGAGCAGAAACAGATCGCTCATAAGCCCTTCGACAAGCATGTACAAGAGCAGAACTCGTTGAAAATTATTCGCTCCGTGGGCTGACAGACGCAAGTTTTCATGTACGAAAATGGTAGCTGGCTTGCGTCGTAATCGCTCTTGCATCTGATCGCATCTTCGACCGTATCGCTTGCATGTGATGTAACTTCTTCGTAGCACAAGAGCTCGATACAATAGCCACACCATTCCTACAGTACTATACCAGTAAGACCATCTGTAGTCGGTACTTCCTGTGTCTTGTGCTAAACTAGAGCCATTCATGTCGAACGTTCCAAGCCCTTTCACAAGACCGTAAACAGTACCATCTTTTGAACAATAAGTGCCAACGACTTCTTCATAGAATGAATAAAAGCCGATGCTGCCATGGTAAAAGTACAATTCGACGGGATAACTCCCGTCTGCACAGTGAGTTGGAGCTGTGTGGAATGGTTTAGTCTTCGTTGTACTGATCAAGTAGTTGCCATGCACATTATATTGGGGCACCACATAATGACAGAGTATTTCGTGGTTAACACGATAATAGTGCGTGATGTCGATGTTCCACCAAATCTGAGCCATCTGCATCCCTTTAGCCACGCAAAACTCCGTCATATTCGCCGTCTCCGCGATAATTCCAGGCGGCACTACCAGCGTCTCCGTGATCTTGTGTGGCGTCGCAAACTTCATAAAGCTCCGGGTCTGAAGCGCAAACGGCACCATCCCTACTACGAACCACGCAGCCAGCAACACCCTCCGAGCCGTCATGACTCCTTCTACAGATACCACTCGACCATCTTGACGACAGTGAACAGTGTTCAACCCCATTGTGAACACCAAGTTATTCTATACAGAGTATTATTATTCCCCGAAACCGAATGCCCCACCTGTTGTGACGAATATATCCAGCTTCACGCTGGGTATTCGCCAGCGTAAAACACCAAGCAAGTCCCTTGTTTTCGCCTGGTTAAGTGCAATAGTAAGAAGACATAAATTCTTCACCAATTACTGTTCGAGGGTCTAAATCTACCTACAGCTACGAGTCAACTTAAGTGAGTCTCGCCAGTTTGGTGGGTACTTAACCAGTTCTTAAAACTATCTTGTGTATACTTATACGAGTCACATATCGCAGATTGAAATACATTCCCGCAGTTAAAAAAACACAACGCGGGAAAGTGGAGAACGTTGTTTTTTTTTCAGCTCGAATTTTCTCCAAAACTATCGTCATAATCCAGTCTATTTTAGTTATTTTACTCGTTCCGATTATAATTTTAACACTAATGCCGTGCGTTGCCCGGGAAGCTCTGGATATTTGTTGCGCTAAAATAAAAAAATGATAAAAAAGCAACATTAAAAATGTGCTTTCTAAAAACTATTTTTAAAAGTTTTTTTTAAGTCTACTAGAGGAGTCTTTGCGAAAAAGTAATGCATGAGATGAGGCAGAAGATTATATCCTTAACCCTTTCGCTATCATAAAAATACATTTTGTACTGTTTAGCAATAGCAGGTGCGACGCTTGGGAGATCAATACAAAGAGTAAGTATAAAAATGATGACCCACCCTTTTTTGCATTGTCGGATCTGCTGACGAAGGCAACAATTTCTACCAGTGAAATAGCCAAGAATATCAACTTCAGGTACCCAAATCAGTAAATTTCTACCAGTCAATCAACTTATTTTTATTGTGTCCTGAAGCGAATGGTTGTCGGGTCTCCAGGACTTAGTGCCTTCGCACGCTCGAAAGACTGCACCGCTTCATCCAGCATTTGAATACGTAGATACGCCTCAGCCAAGCTCACGTGTGTTGCGTGACACGGATTGATCGCCACAAGCTCCTGGTAGCAGCGTGCATACAAGTGCTTGTCCTTGCGATACTGCAGATAGATGTCGGCTTTGACCATTTGCGCCTTCGTGAACGCTGGAGAAGCCACGGGAACACTACTCAGCATGGCGATAGCTGCGTCATAGTCGCCACGTTTGATAGC